TAAGAATTTCACAAAATATGTTGTGAATGAGAAATATCGGCTTCTATACTTTAGATTTCTGTTTCTAAAGTGAGTCTATATAAAGACTGTTTTATCATATTGTTTTACTGGTGTGGCTTTCTTTTAGAGCTTAACATTTCCTGCTTTGCCGTGTATGAAGCAAAATTGTAGGGTTTTATTTTCTGTTTGCCGTCATTACAATAGAGACAATTTTTAAAATGTGCCTAATAGGTCCCAAACTTGACCAGAGTAACCTTTCTTTAGTAGGTAATTATTTAATTTGTCATGTTAAAAATAAACAAACCCAGCCGGGCGTGGCTCAGAGGTTGAGCATAGACCTAGGATCCAGGAGATCAGGGTTCGATTCCGGGTCAGGGCACGTGCTCAGGTTGGGGGCTGCAGCCGGTCAATGACTCATCATTGAGGTTTCTATCTCTCTCTCTATCTCTCCCTTCCTCTCTCTGAAATCAATAAAGATATATTTAAAAAAAATAAAAATAATAAAAATAAAAATAAAAATAAACAAGCCTGCCTGGGGTGGGGATGGGAGGGGGATGCGGAGTCGAAGGGGACAATGGGGGAGAAAAGGGGACACCAGTCATTCTTTCAGCAATAAAGATAAATTCAAAGAAATAAAATAAATCAAAAATAAAATAAATAAGTGACCAAGCCTACCCAAAAGTCTGCCCCACTTGATAAAGGGCAAGCTGGCCTAAAATGCATTCACTCACTTAATTGTGCAAATACCTTCCTATGCTTTTAAAGGAAACCGTCTCGCGAGACCCACAAATGCACTCGAGCCACTTATGTAGGTCAGCTAATGTGGGTGACGCTCTCCGCAGCGCCATCGGACGAAGGGCGTCCTGCATTTTGCGCAGGAAGTTCCCGTCCATGATAATATTTTAATCAGCTGCAGACAACAGCAATGGCCGATGTGACTGCTGCCTGACAGTCGCCTGGCCCGGCTCGGGCGCTGGCCGGGCCTCCGTCCCTGGGCACGGCCCTTTCTAGAAAAAGGGCCAGCGGTGGCCGGGAAAGAAGTGCAGTGGGCGAGGCTCCGCGTCTGCACGGAGGAGGGGTGGGGCGACGGCCCCCGTTTCACAGCTCGTCATGTTGTGTTAACAGGCGCTTAGGCCGGGACAGAGAGAGGAATGAAAAGGAGCCAGGAGCCAGGCACCAGGAAAGTGGGGTGCGGGCAATTTCTCAGGGTGGCAAAGGGCGCTCTGGCGGGGCCGTCACCCTGAGGGCTATTAGGGCCCCTCGCCTGCTCTCCTGCCCTCGCGATCCTCCGAGGAGAGTCAAGCGCATTTTCTAAAGCCCTTGTAATCTGCCCCCTTTTAGATAAAGTATGGTCACGCTTCCTAACAACACACTTTTCCATTTATGGGATTTATTTAAGGAAGTCAACTAATTCTATTTACTGATTTAAAAAAAAGGGGGGGCCCACTCCCTATGTATTTTTCAATGTGCTTTTTTGGTGTTGCTGAATTCTTCACTTTTTCCTGTAGCGAAAGCAAATGTACAAAATAGGACATTCCCAGGGGTGCAGAAAGACCACTGATCTGATCTTAGATGTTAAACTTGATTTTTAAAAAGTGTGTGTGTGTCACCCTGGCCGGCGTGGCTTGCTTAGGCTGAGCATCATCTTGGGCTCTGAAATGTCACCGGTTCGATTCCCCGGCAGGGCACACGCCCAGGTTTGGGGTTTGATCCCCGGTTGGGCTGTGTATGGGAGGCAACCAATTAATGTTTCTCTCTCTCTCTCTCTTCCCCCCTTCCTCTCCCTTCCTTTCTCTCTAAAATCAATACAAACATATTTTTTAAATGTGTCTGTGATATTACACAAACAGAACAGGATAGGACAAAGAGAGCAAAGGCTTAAATTTTTGTGCTGATAAAAACAAAACAAAAAAAGGTTTCTCTACCGTTACAAAGAGTTTTGAAGTTAAGACTAAGACCGGCGAAATCGCTGCTCTGATTTGGCTTAACTTCCAGCTCCGACCCCGGTTATCAGGTGGGGGTCACGTTATCCAAAACTCCCTTTTACTTTTACGGAGGCAGAAACGTGACTTCCACCTTTACGTTCTCTCTGTCTGTGCGCCCCCCATCCCACGCCGCTCTGCTGCTGCACCCGGCACCCCTGAACCAGGCCACGGCGGCACCCGGGGAGCAGGGCCCCCTTCTAACCCAAGTCACCGCGGGGCGCACTTATTGTTCGAGAGGCACAAAGGACCTCGGCTCGTTCCTGTTCTGCTAATCCCTCTCTGAAAAGCCCAGATACTCCCTGCAATCATCTCAAGCACCTTCGGGGTATCACAAAAAACCGGGGCTGCGAGTCATCAGGCCACAGAGGCCCATTCGGGCACTTTCCGTAGACAGCAGATAACGTCAGCACTCGCCAATGCTAAGCCCCGGTTCAGGCTGAACGCATAATCGTACAGCAATTGTTTCCACCGCCGCTTCTGCTGTTGCTCAGGGTTATTTAAAGCGACTGTCTTCACAGAAGTCACTGGAGCCCCGCTACGGTGACACATCCCTTTGTAAGCTGACGCCTTGACTTCGATGCACAACTGGACCCACGGCCTCGGCGCTGACCTTTTCTCTCCAGCGAGCGCTGGGAGGAGGTGTCGAGTTTTACGGGTCCTGACCGTGGAATGTCTGCAGCGCGTCCGAATAGTGGCTTAATGACTCCCTTAAACCAGGGAGCGCGTGGGGACAGTTCTCTCCAGTGATGGGTGGTTTAGCGTCCCTGTGACGTAGCCTTCCATGCTGCGGCTCTTAGTAACAATATCATCATTATTCTAGAATAGTTCTTTCATGTGCAACCCACAGGACACTAAACCACCCTGGTTCGGCTGCAGGAAGCAAGGCTGAATGTACGCCCTGCAGGCACTGGACTTGTGTGGGCTTGGGCTGGTCTTTCTACCCCTCTCTGCCTCACATCTCCCTGTTTCTTTGCCCTAAGGGGGTAATAACCGATTCCTGGGTCAGAGCAATGGTTCCCAGTTGGGGACAGGCACAACTCTGCCCCCCAGAGGACATCTGGCAACATCTGAAGACACTTTTGGGTGTCACAATTCAAGGATGGTCATGGGTCAAGCAAAGGATGCTGCTAAACATCCTACCACCAAGGGACAGTCCCCACAACAGAGGACAATCTGTTTCCAAATAGAAGTAGTGTCAAGGCTGAGAAACCCTGGGTTAGAACAAAGAAAGAACAATGATACTTTAGACACGTAAATATATGTGTGTGTATGTATAAAATGATAAACCCGTGTGGCTCAGCGGTTGAGCATCGACTAGGATCCAGGAGATCGCGGTTCGATTCCCGGTCAGGGCTCATGCCCGGGTTGCAGGCTCTTCGGTCCCCAGCAGGGGGCGGGCAGGAGGCAGCCGATCAATGACTCTCATCATTGATGTTTCTCTCTCTCTCTCTCCCCCTCTCTGAAATCAATAAAGACATATTTTTTTTAAATAAGATCTATAAATGTAAATGACTACATATATATATTATCTAAAAAAAGTACCTGTGGACATTTCAACAAATGTTAGTTTTATGTCTTTTGGCTCTAAAACCCCTCATCACACTTTCCTCCCGGATAAATGTATATTTATCATTCAAGAAAATTCGGGCTGTCCCCACTGCCACCGCTCCCAAATGTCGTAACGTCTCACAGCCTATCTTTTTTTTTTTTTTTTGCTTTTTCTAAAAGTCAGATAGACGTGACAACAATCCCGATGCAATGTCAACAACCCCTGTGATCCCATCCCCACACTTTTTGCACACCCGGCGACTCTTGTGTAGGTATCGTCTGAAGCACACACCCCAGAGCTCACCTATTTAACTAGTTTTGACTTAATTTGGGGTGCTTTGTTAGCAAACAGTGTAAGACAGAGTAGCTGGTATAATACAGAGTGATGTTTAAATTAGTTTACAATTTGCTTGGCCTCATCTAGAACAGCACCGAACAAAGCCATTCAGAGATGTCAGCTGTGTTCCTAACCACCGTAACAAATCGTCGCCCGAACGCTGCACACCTAATGACTTCAAATTAGCTTCGCCGCGATGCTGCCTGACAGTTCGTTACGACTGTTAGCAGCAGAGCTGGCGTATCATGACCAATAAATTGGTTTCAGTGTGGGCTGGGAAAGGGACTTCCATCAATTTGATTAAAGAAATTACCGTAGCATTCAAAGCAGAAAGACAAACTAGTTTAAGGAGACAGAAGTAAGTTAACCGTATACCAGAGAAAAACACCACTCACCGTGGTTCAAAAACTTTCTCATGAACTCTGTGAAGATCAAAAGCCAAGCAAACAAAAAAGGAAAAATTCGAGTCTACTACGCTGCCCAAAATCTGCGGTCAGGCGTAGGTTTGCTATGACAGGATGGGCCAAGAAAAGAAAAAAGTCATAGGCGATTGTAAAATGCTGCTCTTACGTTACCAGATGAGAAAATATCCTATGTCAGTGTAACATTTCTTTTTCTAATTTCTGTATAGATTCACGGCGAACAACTAACTGTGAACCAAAGCAGAGCCCGTGACTGTGAACAGGACACAAATAAACAGTAAAAACAGGCAGTTATTCTTAACACACACACACACACAAAGGTGCATTAGACTAATCTTGACAGAAACCCTTTTTGACATGAAAACACAAAGTAGAAGCCTTTCCTTAGGGGAAAGCTCAGAATTTTTAAGGAAGAAAGAAGTGAGCGTTTAATTACATTTTCTTTATCTTACATTGGCAATGGCACCTTCAAACAGGCAAAGATAGTCAACGAGAGCTCACGTTGCTACCGACATAAAAAGGTTTAGGTTCTACGAAGCTCAGCAAAGCGCTGCGTGAAATACGATAAAAACAGATGGAAAGGTTAAAAACCATCCTAACGAGAGAGAAATTTAGAATTTGCCGAAATGGACGTATACAACCTAGGGAGTTAACGGCAGCCTTTTCAGGTTCATTGTTCATTTCCCTCCCTCCCCCCGGAACGTGTACCTGGAATATGCTTCGCCCATCCGATGATGACCACCAGCTCTCGGTCGGCCAGGTCGCACAGTGTGGTGAGGGCTTTGATGTCACTGTCGGGGACGGTAGGGTCGGGCATGGCATAGATCTTCTCCGGTTCAGCCACCAACAAATGGGAAACAATCTTGTTATCTGCAGGATCAGACCAGAGCACTACAAGATCACTAGCAGCAGCACCCTTCTTCTACAAACCTCAAAGCGCGTTGCGTCTGGGACAGTAATCAGATCGCCTACAAGAAACCCAACGCGTCCCACTCGGGGTTCGGCACGGGGGCGTCAGGCCGTGCTCGGGGCAGCTCCTAGCAAGGCCGGAGCTGCTGCAGCCGTAACAGCGCCACTCTTTCTCTGTCTTCTTTGCTCTACCTGCCTTTGTGGGAAGGAAGCATTGGTCCTAGAATGAAATTAGTTTTATAGCAAACAGATAAGAGGCGTTAGGTGCTCCCTGGGTTTATGCTTTGACCCTTACGTGGGATTTGGGGGAGCAGATTAAATAGTATAGGACAGCTTTAAAATAAAAATACACAGTAAATCCCCGAAACCTAGACGATCATGTGGAAGGCAAAGAACTTCTAAGTGCCCGGAGTCATAATGGGCACAAAAGTCATTAATTGTCTTAATTCCTTTAAAGAAAAGAAAAGGTCAGGCCCTTCTCCCTGGGTGAATTACGGACCAAATAACTCTATCTCTGTGGGATGCATTAAACAGGAATTTCTTTTCTTTCGCCCTCTCCCCACACAGCCAGCCAATCTCCCAAAAATAGCCGGTATCAGTTTCTAGAAAAGCACTCCTACTTAAATGTTACAGCATTTTATCTTCAGAGCTTCGGATTCTTTAACTCTCTATTTTCATCTGTTGTCTTTCGTTCATTCTCTGGTTCAGATTTATCTGTCAGAAACTGATGATATATGTTTTAAAAAACCTTCATAAAATAAACACTAGAGACAAATGAAAAGCATCCCATCAGATGTGTTTTACTGCTCGGGGCCATGCGCGGGTTTATGGAGGGGGCTGTAAAGGCTTGCTAACCGAATGCTCTTTCTTGTTGGCCCTATTTTCAATTTCTGTGTGTCGCTTTAGATTTTCACACTTTCTGCTAAGTGAGGAGATTGACATGGGGCAGAATAAACCCCAATAATATTTCTATGTCCTGTGTACTGTTCCTCTAAAAAAGGGGCCATTAAATGGGATGTTTGTGAGCAGAGCTAAAGCTGCCTCTGTTTCTATTCCTTTTACTGTAAGTTTTTAACTTTTTAACCCAAATTGAAAGACTTCCTATACATCAGAATAGAAAACGTAGCATTCTTTTAAGCTTCTTGAACACAGTAACGAGGAGACTTATCCAAACTGTAAAACATTTTTTTTCTGACATATTTTAAAATTGTATTATTATGGCTGCCATAGAAATTATATTTATTGCAAATAAGCAATAGATAACCATTCACTGGCAGTAATATTCAATTATCATTCAACTGCAGATTGGGGGGAAATATTCCCAAATGCCGTATTTTCTAGTAAAAAAAATGAAGATAGAGATTCTTTTTTTTTTTTTAAACTTGCAGGATCTGCAGAGAATGGCGTTGGCTTCTTGTATGTGCTATAGAAAAAACACCCTGTATTTTTAGTTACGCTTGGAAAAGTTTCAGCTTTCGTGGCTCTGACAACACAAGGAAGCCTGTCAGCAACCACTAGATTCTCAGGATGAAAGCAAAACACAACAATAAAGGGCAAAGACACGCAGCCGAAGGAAATCCTGATTCTAGCTCTTAATACAGGATAAACGCCACCTGTTTTAGCCAAGTCAACGGATGCTTGACTTGGGGTCAGAGAAATTGGGTGGCAGCTTGGAAAGTCCCATCCTTCAGAAAACGGAATTAGCCAGCAGCACTGCTTCTAGGTAAATCTTATTTAATGTTTCCCTAATTAGAATCAATAGAACCCAATTTCCACTCTTGGGCTTGTGTGGCACACAATCCGTCAGCTTCCAGAAATCTCCCCCAGCCACTTCCTGCGCGAGGCCCACACGCCGTCCGTCTCTTGACACTTATCGGACGGGATCTGAAAATTAAGTTTTATAAATGTTTGTTACAAAAACACACTAATTGGATGGACTCGGGAAAATTAACACGGAGGCCTTGAGGTAATGAGGAATGATTTATAGGAGTCCTCTTTATCTCAGACAAACGCAGCTCAGTGAAATTGCTGTAATCTCCTTAAAGGCACTTGACAAGCCACTTCCCAATTCCTCGGGTTTTCGCAGAAAACCGGAGATGCTCCTTTATCGCGGGCTGGTTGGTGCGCAGTTTCCTCTCCGTAGAAGAAATTATCAATGGCTTCAGTCAACGTTTGCATAAAATGAAGGAGGGATGGGCACCCTGTGCACTATCGGATCCAGGGAAACGAAACCTCTGATGAAATTAAGCATTCGTGTTTATTGCATTTTACTGTATTATCAGAAAGGTTTTTTTTTTTTTTTTTTTATTATAACGTGCAAAATCTGCTTAATGCAGTCCGAGATCGTCTTTGCAGAATGCCAAACAGCTTACGCAGGCTGAGGGGAAGACGCCAGATTGGACAATTGAAGGTATAATCAACGTAATGTTTTTTGGAAAGGCAAAAGGAAACTATGCCATATGTTCACTTAAGCTTTAATTTTATGTAAAACTGGTTGTTTTGCCTTTGACACAGCTGAAATGTCCTTTCGTTTACAGTTCAGGGTCTGTTTTATTTATTTAACGGATCCCCAGATGCTGACTGTACCGAGTGCAGCAGCGACCCCTCCTGGAGGCTCCGAATCAGAAGCCGACACTTTCGCTCTTCCCTTGAAAGCAGGTAAGAAACACACGCCCGGGTCTTTCCTGGAGCCGCCACGGATGCGGTTTCGTCTGGCGAGTGCCGGTTGTGTCTTTGAAGCCAAAGGCAGCCACACGTGAGAGCGGTCCCCGCGGAGGCTCTTCCCAGTGCCCAATATGAACTCTTTGCATAAACCTCCTAAAACGCTAGGGCTGTTGCCCAGCAGCTGCGAGCTGATTTTTCAGAAAATGGGCTACAGTTATTGCCTCAATCTATATGCCGGCTCTTTTAGTTAATGGCGAGTAGAATGGGGCCTGCCTTTTAGCAACATACCATCACCCCTTCGAATTGCAACCTGGTATTATGAAACCACGGGCTCTTTAAAAACAATTCATGACGCCCATAAGGGCCCCTGAGACGGAACCGTCAACCTATGCTTGTTATTAGCTGGGCCCGTTCTTGTTTTAATCCATCGCTGGCTAGTGTGTTAACCTTCTCTAGCTCCAAATTAATGAGGCTCCTAATGTATTTTCATTGGGAGGTTGAGCAGTCAAACTCATTTAGTTAGCGCAAACTACAAAAATCGCTTTCTTGTGAAATCTGAAAACGAGCAGCTCCAATGAACTAATGATCGCAGCATGATCCATTTTATGTACCCCTGAAAATAAAGATAACCGGTAAATGTGAAATCCGCACCGCGTAAGCGATGCCTTAAAACACGCGCGCTTCCACAAAGCGACTGGGTGAGAAAAGGTGGGCGGGAGAGACCCAGAGGAAAGACAAAGATAATTAGTCTCAGAGGCAGTCTTTGGGAAGGGAGCCGCGGCCTCCTTGGAGTGGGTGGGGTGGGCAAGCCCTAACCGACTCACACGGAGCCGGCGGGGGTCTGGGGGCCCGATGCGTCTGCTGTACTTACATGGCTTCTTGGCTGGCTGAACCAGCTGAGGGTTCAGGTACGGGCTGTTCTCCGCGTCTATTCTGCGCTTGTACTTCTGCCGACCTCCACGCACTCTGTCCAGACGCACCCCTGCGGGCAGAGACGGTCGCAGGTTTACTACGGAGCATCTTTTAAAACCGATTCAATACAAAGACAGGATCACCCATGGGCGCCGGGGAAACGGACAGTCAACGCACAACGGTCCGGGGGTATTAGAGGGATGTGGAAAAGTGGTGGCTAAACCTAGATGGTCACGGTTGGAAACCAAATCTAGCCGAGGATGGTAAACCCGACAGGCATTTTATGCAAGGCAATCAAAGCCACAGTCGAACAGCAAAGAAAAAGCACAGTTTCACGTGAATTAATCCGAAGAAACTGGTTTTCAAATGAAAGACAATGGCATGTTGCATCGTCTTTGTCAGGGACCCCTGAAAGCTCAGTAGGGGGCTCGGGTAGACCAGCTGACCAGCTAGCGGACCCTGGCGCTTAGTGGGGGCTTTAATGTGGGCCCGTGGGACTGGGCTGCATTGCAAACACCATCAGGCCCTGCGGATGACATGCGTGGATCGTTCTGTATTAGCATGCCCTGTATTAAGATGTCTCAGAAGGAGAATGTTATTTAACATTTTGGGGCACAACTGTATTTCCTTTCAAACGAGAGAAAAGTGGGAGTGGGTTTGGGCCGAGCACAGGACAGGAAAGGGAGCCTCCTGGAAGCACGCGGGCCAGGGTGGCCAAGAAGGGGGTGCTCGCAGGGCGGAGCTGGAGCGTGAAGTCGGGCAGGAGGCGAGAGCAGGTGGCTTTTGTCAAACTTCCTCCCAAAGAGCGACCCGCTGGGTCAAGGTTCAGGGAGGTTTGGGGGTCAGCGGGATTTAAAAGATCAAGGAAAGAGGCAATAAGAAAAGAAAGGAATTAAAAATAATGTTCCGATTATGTGGGGGAGAGGTGGGGAAGAGCTTGTGAGCAACCCGGCTTCCAGTGCACAACTGTGAAGTTTAGGACGGGACCTGGGTACACCGTCGCCAAACAGAGACAAGGTGACGTGGCAGGAAGGTCGAGGAGAGTATTTGGTTCCATCTTAATTGATGACACAGGATAACATTCCCCATGAATAAATTCAACCAAGCAATGCATTGCACGTATTTTGGCATTTTTCAAACTGTGTACAAAATAGATTTGGTTTAATAGCACCATCAGTATTATTATTTTACTGAAGGGCCTCTCAGCGCCTTTAATATGCAAATGGCCCCTGTAAAACTCTCACAGGGAGATGGAGGCCAGGCAGTGTTTTGCAAACCAATTTCACCAAGGATCCAGATTGGGGGATATCATTAATATCATGGGACATGTGAGTTGCGGGTTTTCTGGGGAACAGGAAACAGTTTGGGAAAGGCTGATATCTCTCTCTGTGGATCCTGAGGGTGACTATATACACTCAAATGGTAAAGATGATTATTGAGCCACACAATCAAGAAAAACACAATTGTCCATATTATCTTAATAGTAAATGCTATTTTAAGAGTTGGTTATCTTTTAGTGAAACACACAATCATACACTGGTTCCCAGATAAAGTCTGAAAGGCCATATGGAAACATCAAAGCAGAGTTTAACTAAAATCAGGGGACAGCTTCAAAAGCAATTAAGTGGGTTGAGACAAATAAATATCAAAAAACAAAGAAATTAGGTACACTAAGTATTCACTGGAAGTCACAAAAAAAGCTATATGCAATGACATAATAAATTATTCCTAAATAGTATTTGAAGAATGTGTTTAAAAAAATAAAGCATAATTGGCTAATCAGAATGGTTGAGTTTTTTAATGACTCTTTTGTTAACTAACTCTGTAAACTGATGTAACTTGTTTCCTTTCCCAAATATAAATGGATGGGAAGGCAATATCCTCTCCGAAGTTTTGCTGTAATGATCTAATGTTATATTAATTAATATAGTATTACAGTTGGATATTATACAAATGTCTTACTAAAATATTTTATAAACCTTAAAATGCCAAGGCAAATACAGAAGTTGCTACTGTACTATAACTTTGTTAAAATATCGCTATATTATTTTGTTTCAATCCATTCTGCACCATGATTATTTATTGAAAATCTACCCCATGAAGCCTGACAGTCTACCCTGCCTCAGTTCTGCAGGTAAACAGATCTGAAATATGATGAAGTGGTGAGATAATTCAAAAACCACAAGCCAAATCACGACACTATTTGATGTCTAAGTGATTTATAGAAATATCTGGTACCCCATTCCATTTACTGCTCAACCCTGTCACTAATAATAGCATTTATGTATGTGATTGCTCCAGAATAGACAGAGAAACTAACCCAAATTCCATCAAAAAGAACCTGAGTTTAGCTCTAAACACACAATAGAAATTTGAGTAGAGAAATGATAATTATCCAATTAACCTGATACACCAAAAAGTCTCCAACTAACTACTTTAGCAGAAACAAAAATTGTGAATATTTCCCATGAGGCCCGAGAAATCCAGATCTGCCATAAACAAACATCAGTCTCATCCTAATATTTCCAGGGCAGGTGGCAATGCCTGCCTCTCCGCACCTCTATCATCTTAAACACAAACGATCTGTTTCCATGTCCCTTGTAGGCCAGTTCCGAAAAAGTTTAAAAGTAAGATTTCTCCCAGGAAATAAGATACCCAGCGTGTCCGATGTTTGACAGGATCTGAAGTTAATTAAGGCAACTGGATTTTCTATTCACGGGGAGCCTGCCATTGTCTTTTTTTCCTTTTTTTTTAACTAAAAGATTTTAATAGTTGGCATTACCTACCAAGTAGAACGTTTCCTTTCACATTGCTGCTCCTTTCAAACGCTGCGTGTGCCTACGCCGCCACAAGGGAATTGCAAATCTCATACACTGTCAGAATTTACAGAATTGAGAGCTCCAGACTAGGGCAAGGAGGGGAAAAAAATACGCTGCGAGGCAAATAAACTCCAAGAGACGCAGAGCGGTTCAGCACCGGGGCCTCTTAAGTCAGCTAATTTTAAGCCTGCATTTTATGCCCAAATGCAAATTTTTAATATGATGTGGTCCAAAGTCAAAAGTACTGTTCACATTTCCAACAGCACAAAGTCAGAGGAATCTCCTAGAACAAAAAAGCTCTTCTCATCAGGGAACGGCACAGGATGCCCCAGCCTCCTTCCCCAAATTAAAACCAAGCCTTGTAAACTGCTGTTCCCAGACAAAGGTTTGCTAAGCACGTGAATTCCAAAGATGCTGGAATACTTGAGAAAGATGCAAATAGTCCCATTAAAGTAAAAATACTTTAATGAAGTGCATGGCTACTAAAATCACCAGCTGCATTAAATAAACCTCATCGGATGCGGCTTGTGAGGGAGCCTGGGGAGCAGGCTGGGACGAAGCAAGGCCTCAAGCCCCACCTATGACTTCTGGATACTCTCGCTCCCCTTCCTATGGAGGAAACCTCACTCCTTGACGTCCCTAGCGCCCCCCTTGAACTCTCCTGAGATTTTGGTGAGGGAACCATCATGAGCCAGCGAGGGAGACATTCCTTTGAGGAGCTACAAAGGACAGGAACCCTATCAGACGCCACAAGGGGCATCCTCGGGGCCCCTTCTGATGGGGTCTCCTTCCAGGCGCTGTCCTGAACCAGGCCAGCTGAACCATAGTCGCAGGCCGCACAGGAAGGGGGTGAGTGACAGTTATTCATATATTCGCACCCACACCCCAGGGGGAAATCTAACCCCAGTAGATTCTTGAGGAACCCGTGAGACAAGAAAACAGCCAACCCTCTGGGTTGGCTTCCCTGCCATTGCCCCTCTCAAAACAGTGACACTGTTAAACAGGGCACCAGGCGTTTTCGGTCCCTTCCCTCCTGTCCAAGCATCCCTGCCTCCTCGCACCCGCATCCCCCTACCAACCAAAGTCTTCACCGCTCACGGATTGACTCCGTCTCGACACGCAGAGAGCCTCGGGAGACACCAAGATAGGAGCCAGTGACTCGCAGTCCCTGGTTAGGAAGGACTCGGGATATTCCAGGCCGTGGGCTGCTGCGCATACATTAACACGTTTAATCCTTACAGAAACCCTAAGGAGGTGGGGACTATTGTTATCACTTTTTATAAGTGAGAAAACTGGAAACAGCAAGAGGCAGAGCCGGGGGGGGGGAGTTGGGGAGAACGGCTTCGATCCCACGTTCTTAAGCCCAGAGCCTGACCGCCTCTCTGCCATTAAAGGCTATTTTGGGGAAAGAACATCTGGTTCCAAAGGCAGAAGCAATACTCACATCCCGATACGGGTGCGTGAACAGAAAGATGAACTTGCAGGGCAGAGAAGCGGGTGCTGTTATCCAGGTGAAAGGCTGGTCATCTTGCCCGGATCCCTGCATAAGGCGACGCCACTTAGAAAAGGCTACGGCCCTAAGTGTGGGCCAGAGCCAAGCGACGGAAAGTCAGTGACGCCGCTTCTCCACGGAGGCAGGGGCTCAGAGATACTCATTTCCTTCCCCCTTGTTTCTCCTTAAAATGTTACTGCAATTTAGACAAGGCTTGTTTTGCCTGGGGTCCCAGAGGCGGGGTAACATCCAGGCTGAAATTTTCAGTTCAGGAGGGCGCCCCAGGCTTTTCCCAGAGACACCCCTGCCCGATGGTCACATTTACTCTGTTGGATTAAGGTCTGTCGAACTAACGGGGTGGGGGGTCACACCAGGACAGAAAATGCATATCCATTAGGTAAACTTTTTTTTTTTTTAGCTGAGTCCTCAGTCACTAAAAGAGATAAAAGGCGTGACTCACGTTAAGGCCTCCTTGCTCTACAGAAGAAGAGACAATTAGTAAGGGGCAGTCTTTGGTTTGGGTCTCCTGATAGCGATCGGGGCTATAAAACTTGGGAGGCCTGCATAGGAAACGGCAAAGGCTGCCCCCTCTTTCAGATTCCAGTTGCATCCCAAATACATCTGTAGATTCCTGTGCATAGGACATAACCTCAAAGAAGTCCCCCTTCTTTTTTTCAAGATGAGATTCCCTGTTCTTGGCTCGTTCAGAGGCATATATATAGATAGATAGATAGATATATCATCTATCTATCTATCTAT